TTCTCTATTATCTCCCATCAGAACAGTGGCTCCTTGATACTCGTGGGTTTTCATCGGTCTACCGCAAAAGTTTCTCTTTTTTCTTTTACCCAGACGGAATTTTGACACTTCCTGCCGGGTTGGTGATCATCGCAGCGATAAGAGCTCGAGGAAACGAGCGCCGTGGGTACTTGGGTACTTGGGTCGAGGCGGAATCAAGATTATCGCGTGTTTACACGCCGCGATAGACGCTTTTGGGGATTTTTATTTTCTTTTTTTTTTCTTCTACGGGCTACCCAAACTCGTTCGCACGCATCGCGTGTGCGTGAACACGTCCAACCGGATGATAATTCCAGCAGCTGTGTGTAGGAGAGACCGGATGTCGCCCTCTGAGTAATTGCTCACCAGGTGAAACTCTATTGCTTTTACCCTAAGCCCGACCAACATCCTCGTTGTTGGAAGTCAAAATTTCATTTCTTTTTCTTCCCTCCGCGCGGAAGAGAGAGAGAAGAGAAAGAGAAAGAGCCGAGAGAGGACAAACGTCGCGAGGGAATTCTCAAATGCACTGGGAACTCCGTGCAGGAGCCGCACTCTGTCGCCCACTGGCACTCCTTCCTCTCTTATCTGTCGCATAAACTGGATTACGTGGAGATTAGATAAGACACGGGAGGGATAAAGCTGCAAGCGTAATACCGGCGATTGTAAAACTCTCGAAGCGTCTCTGGAAAACAAGCATCGGGCACGTCGATCGATAAAGAATCTTCAAAGAAATCTCGAATCCCAATGATATTTCCGTCTACCGGGATCCACGATAAGGGAAAGGAAAATTAATAGGAGGAACTCTCGGGGGTATCTTGTCGGTTCTCGGCCACGTCGGGCAGAGCTCCTTGAACAGGGAGCGACCTTACCGAGGGTTGGTAACCCTTCTCCTACGGGGGTTGGTAATGGGGCTGGCAGCCGGTGCTCCGCCAGTACACGTACCGGCTGAACTCTCGGATGAACTCGTACCGGTGGTCGCTAACAGCGAAAGGAATAATATCCTCTTGATCTTCTGCTTTCAGCGAGGACTCCACGTCCCACCGACATCTACCTGGGAGTCTCCGTGCCTCGCTGAACCGTCCCTATAGCCATCAGCATAATCACTCGCATAGACATGAACCAGGTCCATCACGCTGCACCGGAAGCCCAACGGTCTATCAGACGGTGCCACGAGTCTGCGCTCTACACTCTCGGTGAGTCGACCGTAAACGTGTTTATCCGAAAGGCGCAGAAAAGGCGCAGAAAAGGCGGAGAAAAGGCGCACAAAAGGCACGTGTCTCGGATATTCCGTGCACGAGTACCTGGCTGCTGTACCGTCCTCCCGTCACGTAACTCGAAACGAGCGGCCATTTGGGGCTGAAGTGTCCTCCTATGCAAGCGCCAACTCTACTCCCTTTCCTTGCCTGTTTATTTACTTGTCTCTTGGTTCGCCTCCATCTTTCCTTTACGTTCACCCCCGACACTCAAGCTTAGCCCCATTCAAACGGCGGATCAACGGTTGATGCTCACTTACTCAGCCCCGATATTAACTCCCACGGAATCGTGTAGCCGTTAAATCTTTTATCTTTCAACGACCTGCTATTGTTTTTTTTCTTGTTTTGCTTTTGCCTTTCGAGATTAACGATATCGTGAAACATCCCCGTACGGTTGCACTTAACAATTTAATGCAGTCTCGGACTCGTAAGAAGGGTGACGCGCACCTGGGGCTACTTGGGTTCCTTCCACGTGGACGTCCGATCGATGTGTCTTCGAATTCTGTCGTAAAGACATCGTGCGGTAGTTGAAGTAATGAGCTTCATCAAATAGTTAGTGCTCGGCGGATCGATGTTACACGATGTACGTGAATCTTACGACTGTACTTGCGCTATTATTTGTCATTAGCTCGTACGGGGTGGTTCACCGTAAATTGGACGAGATTGCTGGGAATTTGTGAAACCGACTATGTTAAAAGTTGCAAGCTCAGTCCTGGGTTGCTCGTGTTTTTGAAGGAGTGAAGAGAGCCAGAGAGAGCCAGAGAGAGAGAGAGAGAGAGATAGGGATAGATAGAAACGGAGGATATCTCAGTGAGCCACCCAGTCGAGCGACCATTTAAATGATCAGCCGGACGGAAGGATCTCCTGATATCGTAAAATTTATGCGCGCAAAGCGAAATTTCTCCAGGGCGGACTGCCCCTTTCTGTCTCCGACTGTACCGCACACATTCTCCGCGCGCTACGACACTCTGCTCTACATTCCTGCGCACTCACGGCCCTCGGGAATCTTCCTGTCCGGGACTTCTTTTCCTTCCTTCTTTATTTTCCCATAGTCTCGAAAGTTGCTGGAAAATTATTACGCATCGCGACATTGAAGATACTCAAAGGCGACGGTATAATTTCCAGAGCTCGGGTGCTCGCAGGATCAAAGAGGCTGCCGTTATCCATCCCGGACCATTACCAACTTTGGCACGCGTGAACGATAACGTCGTGATTAATGTCCTCGTTATCCATCACGTTTGAAAATTCTCCGACATTCGAACGTTTCACCCTGTTGCCCGTTCGCCCTCCTCCATATACTCTTTTCGCCCTTTTCGCCCCTTTCGCGTTTCTTTCGTTTAACGTCTCATCGCGACTCGCAGCGCGGAAGAAAAATGACCGTGGCGGAATTGCCGTAGCTCGCTTTATCACTCCTTCAACGTTCTATCTCCTGTTTCTCCGCGCAGCCTCTTCCCGTGGGGGATGAAGTTTGCTATCGCGAGAATGGGGGAAGCGACTGCGTTTTCAACCCCTCACAGCTAGACCTTCCCTACGCATATCTGTGTGCTCGTAGTTACTGGAAGATTGATTTGCCTGAAAGCGGATTAGTTTGATTGCCAAGGGGGTGGAAAATGGGTGTTTGGGGTCTATCGAGACGGAGGCTGAAAATCAGGAAACCGCTCGCGTCGGCCAGCAGCACTCCTTATGGAAGACAAAGCCATCCTCGATATTGCCAATTTACGAGCATCGCCGTTAATATTAAAAATATTAAAAACCGCTCGATTTCCTAATTCTCGGGGGTCGCGAAGATTCAAGGAAAATAAGAGAGTGACGATCTGCGAGGACGGTTTTCAGTCTATAAATAAGAGAAGTTCGGCCATACGTCGTGTTCCCGAAGCATTGACCTCGCGCGACGCTCCCCACGATCCATTCTTGCTCTCGTCTTCGTCCCCCTCGGTTCACCCTCGGTTCACCCTCGGTTCACCCTCTGTGATGTGAATTATCATCTCCACCACGTAGATTCGCTAAGGAGTTTATTAATTTTTAAAAAATTGGTCCAATTGCTGCACAGCCGGGATTCTGTATCTTCGAAGCTCCAGGCTCCACACGTGCCACGGAAACGAGCGCATCCGGAGTAGGCATCGCAGTAAGGCCTCGGGGGTCGACGACCTTAATCAATGCATTATCGGTATCTACTCCTCTGTGTCTAGGTACAAAGGATGCATCGCATCCCCATCCACCTTAATAACCAATGCGCCCGCAGTTTGGCCTAATGGCGCCTCCTGTCCCCTACGGGGGGGGCACCCTTTGTTTCCATCCCTGGATGCGTCACACACACGTGCGCCTCCTTCTCCGTGAATGCATGCATGTCCGCAATTGCACCTCTCTTTGCGAATTTTCTTATATCCGCTCGAAATGAGAATAGAAGTATTATTTGGGTCGCGAATCCAAATGTAAAAGGCGACGCTGGAATCGGAATGGCGGCAGCAGGGAATCTCGTGTTGCGCGATAATAAATCGCGCCAGTTGGAAGCTCACCAAATGTAAAAGCTTCTTAGCTATCACCATGCTGACCTGTTTCGAGGCTGACGCCATGCTTGATCCAACTATTGAACTTTTGTCCTGCATAAATCGAATGCACTTTTGCGACCTCTCGGTAGACAAAGATCCAGGGGTGGGAGGATGCGTGGACGATTCTTTTTTTTCTTTGTTTTTTTTTTTTTTTTTAATATTTTTTTAAGGGGTTGGAGAGGGTCGAGACGTTCGTCTGGTATTTTCAACCGTTATTAATTGGAAGTCAAAATTGTAGTTACCGAGTGATACGATGGTTGAATCAAGATTTGGGGGTGTTGGTCTTATATCTCAGTTACCGGGGG